TGTGTTCCGGATGCTTTTGCAGGCAAGCGATGAACTCTTTGACTGACTTTCCTTGGTAGCAGATTAGGTAGATATTTACGAATAGTGGAAACCTAGGAGAAATGCAGTTGAAGTAAATCTTCAATCAGTATGTTGTTTTGTACCCTGTATAATCATTGATGTGTACACAAGGATCTGTTTCACTAAGGTAATTTTAACTAGCAATCTTCTTTTAACTAGCATGTTATTACACTTATTTTTGTAGAACAGCCTTCTCCAAATTTGTGGTCTCTAGTTACTCTCTGAGCTATATAACTCTCATAATCCAACTTATCTGCAGGCCACCGGGCACCTGGGTCATTTATCTGTGTCCAGTACACTCTTAAATAAGCGTAGCATAAGTACAATAAATTTCTGGCTTGCTTAACACATAAATCTGATGAGGACCTTTGAACATCAACAAAAAAAGAAGATAAAAATGCTTCTTTGTAAAGCAACAGGAACACAAAGAGAAGCATTATGAGGAAAACAGTAAAATGTTTTTTGCTAGCCTAAATGTACAAGACCGAGATCAGCTGCTGAGATTAGCTTTGATGCCCTTAGCATTCAGATTTTTTTAATACCCTGGAAGTGGCTGTAATAAAGATAATTTTCTTGATCTTAAAACTGATAGTGGAGCTGGTTGCACAATGAAAACACTAGAGAAGATTGAAATTATAATTGAGGCATTATTAAAGAGCATCCCATTTACTATCCATCACTGAATAGCGAAGCCAGATAGGTTTTTCTCTCAACCTGCTGTAATAGAATATGACAGATTTAACTATTGGATTTCTATTATTACTTAGCTCTTAAGCATACAGAATCGTTGCCGTAGATTGCACCTAGGCAGTCCTCCCATTAGACATTATGAAGCTACCACTTCAATCGTAATGATTGAGAACCCCATCATTGTCTGGTGATTTGGAACAGCTACTTAATTACCCCTAAAACAGTATTTCTCAATCTTGGCAACTTTAAAATTGTCTGGACTTTTGACTCCAAGAATTCTCCTGCCAGAATTCTGGGAATTGAAGTCCAGGTGTCTTAAAGTTGCCAAGATTGAGAAACATTGCCCTAAAGTTGTATAGTGTCACCTGACTGTCTAAGAGGAAATCCTTATAATCAAAACACTGGGAGCTGCCATAAATGGCTGGATAGGTATTGGTTGCAAGCATGGGGGAAAAAAATCTATAGAAGGAAGCAGTCAATCCCTATTTCCCAAGTTATCTATCTAACAATCTAGTTCCAACTAGATTGTTTAGATAGATAATTTGGGAAATTTGTTTGATCTTGCGATTCGGACATCTGATATTTCATGAATAGATGATAGCAATTTGGTTAGAATTGAAGGGCACAAGTTGTATAAGTTAGAAACTTGTTTCACAAGTTTAGTTTACAAATTGCTATAATCAACTGAAAATGTTCACTTAAATGTCCTTCACAATGAATGGCCATCTAAAAAGACTGAAGTCTTTTGTGGACAAACTTGAATTATCAATTTACCCACAGTAGATCATGATATAATCACATGGAAACGAAAACCAAATTAAAACATTTAGAGATGGTCCAACTTTTGAAAGTAATTGTTTTATACCACAAGTATGGAATTAAGTATCGGAATACAATTTCCCACTACTTAAAAAAGAATGAAAAATTAGAATGGTGAGAAAAAGTCCTCTTTGTGAGTATCTTTGGATTATTTTTTTTTACCTACATGTACAAATATGATCACTGGGTGTATAAATAATTGGACCTTCTACAACCAAATAGCTTTACCAATAAGGGTAATAGCAAAAAATGAATTTTATTAGCTTTGAGTTGTGTCATTTCACTTGAAATTTTAGATTAATAAATAATAATAATCATGCCAAAAATAAGGACTAGCATAATTGGGTTGCAAAAATTCTGACTGCTAGAGAGCAGCAAAGAGAGAGAGGGGGGGGGGCAGATCTGATTCTCCACTATTATCTAGTGAAAATATTGCAGCCAACAAAAATAACAAAACCTCCAGGATTATAGTTGAAATGTTCTGAATGGCTCATGGCTGCTTACAGATGTATTTAGTATCTAAAACAAACTACTTACTTGTCAACCATATTCTTCTGCTTCAGGATCTTATAGACTTCAGCCGATGTTTGAGGTCCTTGTAGCTTCTGTCCATTCAGCATTTCTTTTTCCAACTGTTCAATTGTCTAAAATAAGCAAAGTATGAATTGCTCGTTTTAGAATGAAAATAAATGGCATTAAATTCTATATAAACTGATGAACAAATCTGAATGTCTTAAAACTCTAGCAATGAAATGGCACCCTTGTCGGGCTTTTGAACTTTACAATATAAACTAAATAAGCAGGATTTTGGAGCAATTTCTAAACTTACTTGAGCTTAATAGTCACTTTTTTTAAAAAAATGAAATTATTATTATAATGATATAGTTTAGAGCTAAGCTACATGTGACGCTAAACTTGCATTCACACCTTAACCACTGAATGAACCAATTGCCTGGGTACACAAAATTAATTTACCCTCAGAGACCTACTGTATCTTCTAACATTACTCAGTCTTCATTGAAAACAACATAAAGCCCATCTTCATTTTTGAAATACGGATTCAATGATAATTGAATGCCTCTAGGACAGTGGTGGCGAACCTATGGCACGGGTGCCAGAGGCGGCACTCAGAGCCCTCTCTGTGGGCACACGCACCATCGCCCCAGTCCTAGGCCTTCAGCTGGGTTTTATAAAACCTTTTCGCTTTAGGCCTCCACCGCCGTGTACAAAAAAAAGAGATTCAATCAATCAGTCAATTTCAACTCGCAGGGAAAAAAAAGATCTTGCAAAGTTGGAATTGATTGATTGAACGTTTTAGTCCCACCCAGTCTGCTGTTACCACTGCAGCTACGCCCACTCAATGGGCCATGCCCACCCAATGGGCCATACCCACCCGGCACCCGATGATGCATAAGTGGGTTTTGGGTTGCAGTTTGGGCACTCGGTCTCTAAAAGGTTCGCCATCACTGCTCTAGGAGACGCTGTAAGTGAATAGTGGGGAATCTGCTTAGGAGGTGATGCATTCTCCCTGTGTTTGCAATGTGGGAAAGCAGGCTAAATTCAAACTTATAAAGATGAGGGTTTCTTTTTTCAATTATAAGGGCTGACTTTTAAGAAATCACAGGACTTTGGAGGCTGATGAAAATCCTAATTTTCTAGGGAGGGGGTCAAGCATATTTCTCCTGCACTGTGCTTCAGGGAACCTATATGTCTGTTTTTCAGGGACGGTTGGATAGGTGTTCCATTTATATTTCTGCAAATGTAATGTTCTGGCTAGGGGGAACTGAAACAGCAAAGAACAGAAGAGGAAATCAGATCCACCAACCAGCACTCAGGACATGTACCTCCACATAACGCACAGTTGGGATTTGGGAGGTGTTTGCATTGGCCTGTCTGTAGCTATCTGTTACCTATGCTTGCCCAATAACCCCTTCACAGTGTAGGTATGCAGCGACTGCTATGGGCAGTCAGCCTGTACTCTGCATGCTATCAGCCCCTTAGGGAACACTCCTCCTGGCAATCTGGCAGCCCCCCACCCTTTTAGCCTTCCAGAAGGCCATTAAAATCAGACCCTGGGATAGAGTGGTGAGAACTTGAGAATAGTTGTTGGGACATCCTAGGAGGATGATTGAGGCCCTGGATTTTTTAATACGTCTATATAGCTTTTATGGTGTTTGTAGTTTTACTGTTTATGAGCTGTCTAGAGTTGTTTTAAGATGCAAATCTTCTAAATAAATTAATTACTTCCTGTTTTCCTTTAGCTGGTACATCTTGTTTTATTTCAGTATTTGACTGGGCTGCATCAATTATAATTTCATAGGGCCCCAAGTCTGTTTCTCAAGTCTGAAAAGGCTCCTGAAGTGACTTTTGATACCATCGACCATGGTATCCTAAGAATAGAGTAGAGTAGAGTAGAGTAGAGTAGAGTAGAGTAGAGTAGAGTAGAGTAGAGTAGAGTAGAGTAGAGTAGAATAATAGAATAGAATAACTGTATTGTCACTTTAAATGTACGCTAATCAGCATACATTAAAATGAGATTTCGTTGCATATACCTCTCAAAGGGTAATCACCTCCAATATACACTGCATAAACATGAAAAATAATAATAATAAATTATGCATATACCCACATACACACACAGATGTGGCCCAGAGAAACAACACAGTCTAGTTCGGATGTATACATATACATGGTGAGAAAAACGAATCATGCGAGTTTACCGAATGTTGAATTTTGGGCTGTCTGTGGGATTTGGAGCTGAGTAGGGCAGTATTGTGCTGGTTCAGCTTTTTTCTCCCAAGCCAGTCCCAATCAGTGTTAATAGGAGGTGAGAGGTGCAGCCCACAGCTACTCTTTTGTGGGGTGCCACAGGGCTCAGTACTGTCTCCACTCCTTTGTAACATCTACATGAAACAGCTGGGTGAGATCATCCGACACCATGGGATGAGATATCATTAGCATGCAGATGACACTCAGCTTTCCATCTCCATCCCTGGTGATCCAAGCAATGTTGTAGTTGCCCTTTCACAGTGCCTGGAGGCTGTAAGGATCTGGATGGGGGACAACAGGTTCCAGCTGAATCCTAGTAAGATGGAATGGCTGTGGATTCAAGGGGCCTCAGGATCCAATTATTTCTCACCTTTAATTGTGGATGGGATTGCACATCCCCAGAGAGACCTGGTGTGCAACCTGGTTTTTTTTCCTAAACCACGGGTATCAAACTCGATCGTGTCATGTGACGTATCGTGACTTTTTTTGCCTTTGCGGAGCCTGGGTGGCCGTGGCCTGTGTGCGACGCATCCGGCCCGTGGGCTGCCAGTTTAACACCCCTGTCCTAGAATTATGACTCCTGCTCGAAGAGCAGGTGGCAGTTGTGGTTAGGGAGGCCTTTCTGCAAATTCATGTTGTGTGCCAGTTGTACCTTTATTCAGATCATAAAGCCTTGCAAATAGTCACTCATGCCCTGGTCGTCTCTTGATTGAATTACCACAATGTGTTCCACATGGGGTTACCCTTGAAGAGTATTCAGAAGCTAGAAACGGTACAGAATGCAGCGGCTCACCTGGTTCTGGGAGCATCTAGGGTGGCACATCTACTACTACTGTTGGGCAAGCTGCATTGGTTACCAGTTTTCTTCCAAATCCAATTCAAGATGTTTATTATTATCTCTAAAGCCCTATATGACATGGGTCCTAGTCATATGACATGGGTCCTTCTGAGGAGTCATCTCACTCCAGTGGGACTAGCCCATCCCATTATCTCCAGCGGAAGGGGTCTGCTAAGGAATTCTGGATGGTGGGGTCAAGGGAGCTGAACTTTTTTCACTGTGGCCCCAACCCTATGGAACATTCTATCAACGGAGGTGAGAACTGGTCACACCCTTTTGGCCTTCTAATGTCGGAGATAAGACTGAGCCCAAGGGTGAGATCAAATGCATCATCAATCTGGAATCCTTACGCCCCCCCCCCCAAAAAAAGACCTAAGTCTAACCCTCCTTGAAGTCCATTGACTTTCATCTGCCACCAAATTACTTTTACCATTAGCAGGTCAGATTCTTGTATAGGCTGCATGGAATAAATTCGCAGTGCTTTTGAACTCTGTCCCGACTCCTAGTTGCTTGTGCCTGACATCTAGAAGAATATCAAAATTTGGTTTTGCTGGTTGGCTTGCGGCCCCGAGGGAGGCACTCCACCACTTGAGATGGTTGACAGGGTAAGAAGATCTCATCCCCATGCCATCTGTCTCCTTGGTTCTGGTTTTTGTATACTTTTTAAACATTTTAATTATTTTTATACTTATCTTTCTTACCTTTGTCAGCCATTCAGAGTCGCCTTATAGGAGAGATGGGTGGCATATGATTAATTAATAAATCACAGCTGTTAGGATTTTGTATATGATGCTAAGTCATTAACCAGGCTTTAGAAACAACATTGGTGGGATTTACGCAATATGCTCAACTGCATTCAGTAATATAGTGTAATATGTAAAGATAGTCATTAAATATAATGGAGGGACTCATACAGCAGTTAGCAGTTTTTATAATCCTTAGGAAAAAAAGCTGTAACAACACAAGCCATCCCATCAGATATGATTCCAATGTACAGGTAGTCCTCAACTTACAATAGTTCATTTAATGACCGTTCAGAGTTACACTGGCACTGAAAAAAGTGACATGTTGTTTTTCACAGTTATGACCTTTGCAGCATTCCCCATGATCATGTGATCAAAATTCAGATGCTTGGCAACTGGTTCATATTTATGACTGTTGCTGTCATGTGATCACTTTTCATGACCTTCTGATAAGCAAAGTCAACAGGGAAGCCAGATTCACTTAACTGAGGCAGGAAAGGTCCTAAAATGGGGCAAAACTCACTTAACAAATGTCTCATTTAACAACAGAAATTTTGGGCTCAATTGTGGTAATACGTCGAGGACTACCTGTATTTGAAAATTTCTTAAAAATTCAGGGAAATAGTCAGAGATATATCTCCCTTGAAAGTAGCTCATATTGAACAGTCAAACATCAGGAGTTGACCACAGGAAATGGTCATAAATTTACGAGGTCATAAAATGCTTCACGATCATTTTATGACATGTTTTATAAAATTTGCCAAATGTCAATTCTGTGGGAGTCACGGGTCCCAGATTTTGGATGCTTTCTGTAAGTTAGCCCACTTGAGGTACCTTGGTTGAAAATCTTTTGTCCTATGATGTACCATTTTGTCCAGACATGAGTGTTATAGTAATTTATACAGGATATTACCAGACATGTCAAATCAACTTCAAAAGCACATTGACCCACCTCCCATCAGCTAGCAGCATCTTTGGCTACTTCCTATAAATTGTTCTATACTAGAGAATTGTGTAACTTTATCTTAAAAAATGCAGCCAACTTCTCTTCCTCATGCAGTATAGCAAAACATGCTCTTACTTTTCCACCGTGTGCAAATGCTTCAGCCACCTTCCTGTTACGTCCCCCATAGCATGTGGTAATCAGATCTGCAACCCCACAGCTTTCCAGAAATGTATTTATCGTGACTGTGCCCTTGCAGAAGATTTTAGCGAAGGCAATCATTTCCATCAGGCCTAGGCGAATCACAGCTGCCTTGGTATTGTCCCCAAAGCCCAGCCCATCACAGAAACCAGCTCCAACAGCCACAATGTTCTAACATCCAATGGAAAAATGAGAAAGAAGAAGGAAAAAACAAGTCAACAGTTAAAGACATGAAATAATATTGGGTTCTAATAACTGAAAGTAAACCCCACTCATTACTAGCACTGATGATGTTACCTAGTTGTGTAATGGAACGTCTGCAAGAAAACAACCAACCTCAGAAAGTACCAAGGACCCCTCAAATGTTGGGTTTTCCCACACACAAAACCCATAACTATCACTTTGATGCCCACCAGGCTGCCAGGCTAATCCAAATGTTAATTATGGTTTATAGTTTAATACATACAAACCCAGCTAGCAAAAACTAACTGAAACTATGGCTGAACAAACTGCAGCTTAAACTGTTCTACTTGGTGTAATTAGTGCTAAAAATATATGGTTCAGATGTAGTAATAATTCTGTTTCAGAAGGTTAGGACAAAGCTGAAAACATAAAAATAATGGATTTTTGAAAAATAATAAAAAATATTTTAAAATAAACAAACGCTTAAGATTGGCAATAAATTTGTAGTCAGCAAAATAAATCAGATTATATATGCTTTTTTCTTTTAGAGCACCCTGTCGGCCCAAACATGCAGACAGCCCAGGTTCGAATCTCAGAAGGGTATGTCTGGCTGATGAAAACCAAATAAGGTTTGAAATAGCTATCCCAGTACTCCCTTAATTCTTTGTTAGCAATTCAAATTTTGGAAAACACATATGATGTCGCAGTTAAGCGACTGCTGCCTATGGATGGCTCTAGGTTGAGCTGATACAGGCAAAAGACTTCTCTTTCCCATATTTGGGCCGACAGGGTGCTCTAAATAATCCTGTATCAACTACTGGCATTGCCAGTTTAAAACCATTCTCTACATAAAAGATATCTACCAGACAATGTAAATTGATTTGCTGACCTCCAGTTCTATTTGACTACAACTTCCATAATTCCTAGTCCACACAGCCCAAATCAACATCCAGAGGAAAAGAACATATTTATTTATTGAAAAACATTGGCCTAGAAAAAATTGGCCAATATTACAGATCAATAATCTGATTTGTTTTTCTGTTTTGGAAAAATATAATGGGATAAAAATAATATACCATTCCAAGGTGCCACCTTCAGTGCACTTCAATTTGAATTTGAATTATAGGTAGTCCTTAACTTACAACCATTTGTTTGACTGTTTGAAGTTACAACAGCATTGAAAAAAGTGACATGACCATTTTTCATACTTACGACCATTGCAGCATCCTCCGTGGACACGTGGTCAAAATTCAGCTGCTTGGCAACTGACTCGTATTTATGACAGTTGCAGTGTCCTGGGGTCATGTGATCATCTTTTGTGACCTTCTGACAAGCAAAGTCAATGGGTAAACCAAACTCACTTAACAACTGTGTTACTAATTTAACCACTGCAGTGATTCACTTAACAACTGTAGCAAGAAAGGTCATAAAATGGGGCAAAATTCACCTAACAACTGTCTTGCTTAGCAATCAAAATTTTGGGCTCAATAGTGGTTGTAAGTCAAGGATTGCCTGCTTTTTGTGATTGAATTTGCTATGTGTTCTCAAATTGATCTAAACAGGCCCAAGATAAGTTTTACCTGGAGAGAAAACTGTATTAATAATAGACAACTTTGGCCTCTGCTTCACCTTCATTAGCCAGAATTAAGGGATTAAGATGCTAAAGCAGAATATTATGAAAAATTATCTTTATTTTTTTAAAAAAAGAAAGCATGCAGTTTTGATACCCAATTAGTAACTATAGCTGAACAGTTTTCATTAATATTAGAGCTACAGACCTGAGACAGACCTCATAGGCATATTTAATTAATCTCGTACTTAGAATGTAAAGATATATTGTTTCTATTTACTGTTGATACACTCAATTAAAAATCAGCATGTAAAGCTTTTGTGACACATTTTAACAACTAAGCAGTCTGCAGACCTGCATTTGGCCTGACTATGGTAGGATTCACACAAATACTAAAATGTGATAACTTTGTTTATAGGTCAGAGTTATATGAAGCCAATGAGATAGGTACATCATGCCTGATGGTTTAATGTGTAGCATACATCTCGCTTGTTGAATATTATTTGGTAAATTACACTTAAGCATAGTTTAGCTTAGTAGATCGTAGGAACACAACTACTTCCTTGGAATAACAAACCTTTAAGGCCCCACAGAGCTCCACGGTGTCACAGTCATCCACCACAGTAATTCTGAAATTTGAAGTTTGCATTAATTCTTTGA